TCCTCACTCAGATTTTCTCCCACCACTTTTAACCTCGACATCTTAGAAGCCATGTCCCCAATCGCGAGCTTCTCACTCTCTTTCCTCATGTTCATGAACTACACCAAACATAGTCAATTATTACAGTCCCCATGAACAAAACACGAGAACAGTAGCAGAATCCAAATATACAGGATAAACAGTAACGAAATAATATACATGCATGAGATTGAAGAGTTCGCTTCAATGCTTTTCTGTGAATTAAAAAAATAAGGAGAATTGGAACCAAGATGAACTTACTTGGGATTTTAAGCTGCGAAGTTCAGCTTGGGTAAACTGATTTTGAAGCCCTGGATCAGAAACAAGAATTCCCCAGTGGCCAGACATTTCTGTGTCTGCTTGTGGCTAATCAAATTTTCCTCCTATTTCTGATATTGGTGAAAAATGCAAATCGGAAAGAGAGAAGGAGAGTGCGAGAATCAGAATCAGAACTCGGTATCAAGGAATAATGTTCTCTCCCTGTTCCATTTCCAAAGACGATGAGAAAATTGGAAGTGAAAGAAGAGAAGGCGATCTTCGACACCTTGAGACGGAGTATTCAAAGTTGCTCTGGGAGTGAGGAGAGGGGGGAGAGAGAGAGAGAGAGAATTCAAATTTTGACGATATGGCTCTTGTTACCGTTAAAGGCGATTTCAAATTGTCATGTAAGTTTGAACGCACATAATCTCAGATAAATTAAATTGAATTCAATCATGAATTAAGGGGTAAGCCCCAAAAGTCTTTGAGAACGTAACTTAAATTATTAAACTATTATTAAATAAATAGTGACCTCATAATGATCACTGCCTTAATCATGAATTCAAATTATTATGGTAAGGTCTTGCCCCCCCCCCCCCCTTTTTTTGCCCCAAAGATATTATTACGGCAAGGTCTTTTTAGCCTAACCATACCTAGCATTTTTAATATTTACCTTAATTTAATTTAAGCGCTTAATACAAGACATTGGAGTGTTAAATTTAAACAATTTGTTGGCCAAAAGAAAGTGTTAAAACCATTTTATTTTATGTGATATTATATTTACTTTAATCTTTAAACTATTAATAAGTTGTTAAAACAAAATGTATACAATAATATTTTAGGAAATGTATTGCACTTCTTTTATGATGAGCGCTCTTATGTCACAAGACATATGGTGTGTGGATTAAGAGGCGAAGCTAACATGGGAAGAGATTTTAAAAATATTAATAAATTATTTAGTGAATATTTATATGGAAAGTTTGTATATGGAACCAAATAAAGTAATATATTTTATAATACATAAGTTTGATAGTAAAAATCTTAAGTTTATTTAAATTTATTGTTTTTCGGAAATTGATTGATAATGTTAAAGTGAAGAATATGACTCCTCTGATGACAATTCCATCTTAAATTTAAACACAAAAAAAAAAAAGATAGATGGTATAAATAATATTCATAAAATGTCTCCCCAATAACTTCACCCACGGTTGTACAAAGAATTAGATGGAACTAAAATTCAGCTTAATTTGAAGTCTGGTCTTTTTTATAAAAAGAATCAGATAGGCAACCTGTAGTCCAGTCTGGTTTAGTAACAACCCAAAGCTTAATAAGATCAAACTTAATCTATAAAACTAAGAGACTGATCCTATTACTTTAGTGCTCACTTAACTTTTTTTTTTCTTTTTCCTATACGAGAGGTAATTATCTATTTTAACTTAATAAACTCAATTAAGATAATAAAAATAATTATAATCATAATAAATTCATAATAGTTTCCAGCAACAAAAAAATACATATTTCAATTACAATCCAAATGGTTCAGATTATTAAATTATTAATTTGAGTGTGCAATCGTGCCAGGAACCAAACTTTTTTAATAGTTTTAACTTATTATTATAAATAACCAAAAAATTAATTATAATCATATTAAATAAATTTAATAGGACCAGATTGGACCAAGTGGTCCAGATGCCCAGTCTCTTATCCAATCCAACCTAAAAAAATAATCTAGTCTTTTTAGTATTTTCAATTTTAAAGGACCAGGTTTTAACAGGATCGGACAAAACTGAATATTCTTAAGTTAGACTGGATCGAATAGGATTGGAGGACTTCTGCAGAACTCTAACTTCACCAATTCACTTCCTTTAATCACGCCACTTGCTGGTGACCTCTAATTTCATGAGTGTTTGAAATTTTTTTTACTTAGTAAGTATTCACATCAATCATAAATTTTCATCAACGCTGGCTCAAAATTTTATATTCTCTCCTAAATATAATATAGTACATTTTTTAAAAAGTCGTTTAGTTTAAAGTATAAAATATTTAATAATTTTTATAATTAATTTTTTTAACTATACTTCTATTTTATTTATCAAAGCATTTATATAAAGTTTTAATGAGAACAAAATTGACAAAATGCAAATTTTTTTAAAAATGTAATGTTTTAATTAACATATTTTTAGAATCATGAATAGGTTGCCAATACCATATATTTTGGTTCAGAAGGAATACTTAACAAAAAATAAATGAAGCAATTAGTTAAATGGCAATTTTATGAGATTGTATTTTAATCTAGTTGATCCTGTTAATAAGTCACTTCCACCATTTTCACCCCAAAAAAAAAAACCTTAAATTTTATTAACTATGTTTAAATATTCAACAAGTTTTTCACTTTCTCCCATTAAAATACATACTTTAAACATAAAATACTCTAATATTTAATAACTTTTTCGATATTTAATAGGAACAAAAAGGTAAAAATAAACACAATAATTATTAAGGTACCTACAGATGAAATGCTTGAAGAACATACATAGATAAGGCTCCAAACTAACTTGACCTAAAATAAGGGCATGTACAAAAAGATGATCAATAGTATTTTTTGCTCTTGACATCCAAAAACAGAGTGACATTAAGATGATGTTTGCTTAAGATGTCACCAACTTTGCTTCCAAATGAAGTGTAGATGCTTGAATGGCAGATTGAGTTTCTTAAACAAAATTCCCTATATGATGCTTAGAGTCGTCAAGGGCAGACTCTTCCCTTTTAAGCTTGAAAAAAATTCAAGATCAGTCCGCTAATTTAAAATGTAAAATGATAATTTGGGCTTAAAAAGGTCAATAAAAGGACCCACCCTAGCCCTTTTTATATTTTTTAAAATTTTAATATTTAAAAAAATTAAATACTATACTAATTTTAAAATCTTAGCCTCATTTCATGAGGATGAAGAATGAATATATGAAAAAATTAATATCTTTGCAACACTAATAAGGCTCTATAATAAGAAGGATAAAATTATATTGATATTGATAACAATAAAAATCATCTAAATTTAACTGATGATACTAACAAAGTCTAATTATTATCAGTATTAATTTTGTAATATTTTTTTATTAGACTTAAATGTGTTGTTTTGTAATGTTATGTGTATTAATTTTTTTAGAATTTTAAATATATTTTTTAGATTTTTAAATTAAAAAATGAAAAAAAAATATAGGGCCGCGTTGACTAAAATGAAGCCTTGAAGTATAGTCAAATTTAACAGGGTCAGTCCATTTAAATTTTGACCTTTCAAAGGCTAGCCTTTTACCCTAATTGATCGCTTTAAATTGATGATAAAAGTTACAAATTAATACATGTCTATTAGGTACTCTCCCTAATTTTGAGGTACAAGCATTTTTTAGGAAAAATCCATGTACCAACAAAGTCGCCGTTCCATAAATATATATATATATATATTATCATTAATCTCAATTATCAATGCACTTTACAATGAGTGAGAGATAAATTTATATAAAAATTTAGGTTGATAAAAATGAGGAGTAAAATCGGCATTTTTTTTTACATGTATTAAGTTATTTATATTTTAAATCAAAATTAATTTTAAAAAATGTTTATATTTTAAATCAAGACAGGGTGTATTGTCACCAGAACTGCCTTGCCATTTCAAATTATTGGTTACAAAGGATTCGAGAATACCCTTCCAAAACCATGACACATTATAAGTTTGTTTGTTTGTTTTTTTCTTTTTTAGTTTGCAGCCTTTGATCGATCACTATTATTTGATCCGCAATGTATTTGCCAATAATGAATTGGATTCGGATTCCATGATCCTCCAAATCTACTTTACACAAGAGAGCTTGATTCATTTGATGAGTTGGCCTTATCCATGAACCTCCGTTCCTAATGGGAGTGGAGAGAAGATCTTGCTTGGTAAGCTTGTAGCCAATATTTCACTTAAATACAAGTCAAAACAATTCATTAATTTAAAATAAATTTCACCAGTTTAATATTTTATCCACATCTCGTTATATGGCCTGGCAAGCGAAATTACAGATTTATGATGGCCAGCCTTCCAGCCATTTTCCAAGTCAACTCTACATTTTCATATTAAAAAATTAAAAAATACTCACTCACGTCCATAATATAAACAATTGTTTTTTGTATGATGAGCAACAAATAAATTTATACAAGAATTTAAAATAAATTTTCCATTTTATTCCTGATAATTATTAGCTTAAATATATATTTTTGTTTTTACTTTTAACCCTAATTATTAATACACTTCATGATGGGTAACAAATAAATTTACATAAAAATTTAAATTAATAAATATCAGGGTAAAATGAAAATTTTCTTTCTTTTAAACCGAGATTTGTGAAAAATATATGTTTATATTCTAGGGTAGAGGGAGTAATGGTCATTATCTTACTTTAATCAAGAAAAAGGCTGCTAAAATCGTTAAGAGTAAAGTTAAATGTGGACTCTCTTGGCCACCCCAACCAAAAATAACACAAAAGAATAGTGACTCCCTTAATTGTTGATATTTTGGTAATTAGCAATTAGTAGAATTACTCAAAACACCCCGTTTTGATTAGCAAAATAGTAAAAGTAATCGGAAAAAACAGTGAAAATGGAAATAATGATAATGAATGGTCTGGAATCGATTCAATAATCAAATAATATGATGGTGGTACCAATAAAAGCAGTTGATGAGGAAAGCATTGATGACGAAGGAATATACTCATATAAGTTGAACTTTTGTCCCTTTCCTTTCACTTTACACAGCTCTTTCCGTCACAAAAGTTCACTCCTACTCACGCCAACACCAAAATATTTCACCTCCTAATTAATTAAATAAACCACAAACAAAATATTGCACTACAATAATATTGTTAATTAAACTCGAACCCTTCCATCATAACATCAAACTCAAGAAAAATCCCTAAAAGACGACCTTCCATAATCATCATCATCATCTCCTCTCTATGTACATTGGATTCAAAAGAGCTCATAATAAAGTAGACCAGAAAAACATCATCGTCTCACTTTTAGATTAATATAATGGTTCAGAAGGAGCAAGTCGGCATCAAGCAGCTGGAAAAGAAGCCAAACCCTCGCTTCTGCATCAACCAGAAGGAAAAACAAATGAGAAAAAGAAACCAAGAAACTTTTTGTAAAGCTGGCAAGAAAAGCCATAAAAGAGGAAAGAGATGGAATGAAAGAAGAATTTTCTTCAGGTTTGTAGTCTAAAGCTGCAATGAAAATTTCAGACTTTTCAGTGAGCAAAAGAGGAACTAATGTTTCACAGACCTTTCTGGTTTTTGCATAAAGAAGCTCTGGTGATATTTTATAGAGGTCCTCGTCCACAGGTTTTGGGTTTGGCTTTTCAGGGCTTATTGTTGATGTCTCCTTCACATCACTACTAACCCAGTTCTGCTTTTTCCCTTCCTTTTCATTCTGTTTCCGCACCTTTGCCTGTAAAGTCTAGAAATCTTTAATAAACTGAATGAAAATCAAACCAGTCATCAAAATGATCGAAGATTAATAGTTAAAACCGATCAGATCATTGACAAATTACTACATTGACCTGGTCAATACACTAGTCAACGGTTTAATAATTCAACCAACCAATACTATACTTATCACCATGAGTCTACAATTAACTGATAATCATTTACTGATATATAAATATTTCAAAATTTTCTAACAGATGACAATAAGACTAGAAGAAAGAGAGATTAACGGCATGAATGATGCAGGGTAGGAAAGCTAAGAATGTTTGAAGTTTATAAAGTCAGAAACATAATATTCCAACATGTTATATGAATTATGATTCTTTTTTGAGACCTCTTTATCTTTGTTGCATGATATATACCAGAAGATCCCACGATCTATAAGCGTTTACTTTATTTAGTGACCCACTGACTCTTGACAGTGACGATAAAGCCAAATGTAAATTTTATAGTGCAAAACTTTTTTAAAAGAGGAAAGATGAAAACAACTTAATGACTCGGAAGAAAGAGATCATTGATTATGATGAAAGATAATTTATTTTAAAAGAATTTGTCAAGGATTCCATAAGAGTTAGCACATACTAGTATCTCGTGAACGAGCTTGTGGTTTTTAAAATTATCACGCTTTCGCGTGAATTATGGAAGTCATTTATGGGTACGCCCCACTTCGAGAGTGTCCCTACCATAAAGAAACCAATTACACAGGCTAAAGTTAGCATTTTGCATCACCCATGGCCTGCCCTCATCAGAAAGATGAGGCATGCAGATTCTTTTCCAGTACATTATATATGTATAACATAGATAAGTCTACAAATTTACTCTTTTTGATAGTTTTGTCTGTGAAGGTTAGACATTAACTTATTTAAGTTCTCAAAAGAATATTAAATCTTCAATGCATAAAAGTTACCTCGAACGTTGAGTGACCTGAAACGTGCGTCTTCAATCTCGTAGGTGGAAAAAATACTTATTTAATCCTCAGTCTAGTATTTTAATAATATGCAAATAATAATGTGAATTTCACGCAAAGTTATCAGAGTCATAATACACTAATTCTCAATAAGTTGTCTAAAGATGAAACCTTTTGTCACAATAATAATTATAAAAAATTCAAGTTTTAAACGAATGCTTAGAAAAAACTTAGATTTCGCTGTATCACTCAGACAAAAAAGACTGACCCTTCTTCAAGGTTCAGACACCAGCACATGAAAATGAGCAGGACTACAGAAAGAAATTAAACTCAAAGATGAGCTTATGGCCAAAGAGAGACGAAACATAAACATAGTATCAGATCATTTGAATAGAAACAACAATGATGATTTTTGTTGGTTGAAAAGCATCGTTAGATACATAGAAGCATACCCTTCTGCGAGGAACAACGATCATGGCGGGGATAACAACATCATTTTCATATAAATCCCCAGCAACGTACAAATCACGCTCCTCGGAATCATCAGAGTAACTGTTTCGCATTAACCCAGCTTGTCTAGCAGACTCAAAGCACTGTGTGAATTGAAGGCTTTCATCCCAGTCCCAGCTTCCAAATGCAGGAACCTGAGTCCTCTTGTAGAAGTAATTCTCCTGGCAAAAACCAAACCCCAGGAATCAGAACCTCCAAATCACAACAACAACAAAGAGAGAAATTAAACCAGAGCTAGAGAGACTTACTTCCATGGCAGCCGGAGCAGAAAAAGAAGTAATGACAATGATAAGTTTTTGAGAATATTGAGGTATCTTCTTTTCCAACCGAGTGTGTTGTAGTGACTTGTTTCTCTCTTCTATGTGTGGCGTGTGCGTGGGTGCGAGCGTGGGAGGGTATAAAAAGAGGAGGAGAAGGGGGGGTGAGAGAGAGAGAGAGCGTGCGCGAGAGAGAGAGAGAGAGAGAGGAGGAGAGTGAAAAGCAGGGTAAAATTATTAATGGAGGGTATGGTGTAAAGCAGCAAGAGATCAGAGAGATGGTAAAAAGAAAAGTGGTAAAGCAACAACCCAGATAACGAAGTTTCACAGGAACAGACAGAGAGACAAACGGGCAAGGTATTAGAGACAGTGACTGAGAGAGAGAATGGTGGGTGGGTGTTTATGAATGGGTCAGTAGCTTTTTTTTTTCCCCAACGGCTGCCGGTACCTGGCATAATGAATCTGCTCCAGCTTGAGACGAGGGAACTCAATGACAATATTTTAATATTCGGCTTGAACTGTCATCCAAATGTAAAAATGACTCGAGTTGACTTGTTAATCTATTTTAACATCTATCTAACCATTTAAATCATGAAAACTGTAATTTTTTGATATTTTTAATCTGTCGTTGTTTGACTGGAATCTAGACTAAATCTGTATGAGTTGCTTTTAGGCAACAAGCTCCACCACTAAGCATTTAACGGTGTTACATTCTCTGGATTCAAACACAAGTCTTTTAAATAAGAGAGTACTCGTAGGTAGGTTGCTTTTGTTTGGGTCATTTAAAATTCTTTGAGTATGAGAGGAGGAGCCGAGAGGGACTGGAGAAGTGAGAGACTGTACAAGATAGGTAGCAATGCTTAAAACGTTGCTTTGGACTGACTTGTTCATGGCTGAACACACGTACGTACATTCCAATGTTGGAGAAAAGGACCAAAGATAATAAGTTTGCTTGGTGAAATTACAAGAATAGGCCATCTAAGTGTTGAAAAACATTTACATGTGATGGTTAAAAAGGATGGGGCATTTTGGTGTGATGGTGAAGGCTTTGGCTTGATTTAAACTTGTGTCTCAACTTTAAGCAGAGAGGGGTGTCCTATTGTCCTTCAGGAGAGGGGCTTTGCCTTTAATGCACATCTCTCTCTCTCTCTCCCCCCCCTGTGCACGAGAAAAAGTGACAAGGTTGGTTGTTTCTTAAATGAAAATCTCAACTCAAGCATCGAATCCGTCACTCCTTCACACACTGTTCTTGAAAGATATTTTTAAAAATTTATATGTTTATTTTAAAAAATAAAATTATTACATATATTTAAAAATATTTATTAACATATAAAATTTTATCTAAAAATATATTATAGTTAATAGTTAAATGCAATAACTATGTATAAAATTTAAAAAATAGGACCAAATTCCTAATTAATGAAATAAATATGTATTGTGAAAATAAATTTTGACTTTCTAAGAGGCAACTTGAAAAAACCTTAAATATAATATTTGTAAAAATTATTTTTTATTTTATTCATTGTATTTATTAACATAGGTTTTTTTCATTTACTGTAAATTTATAACCTTCTCTTTCTAATTTAATTCATTATTTGCAATTGGGACTAAGGATAAAGTGAAAAAAATAACATATTTTCATGAGAATAAGTATATAATTAAATTTTATTGGTATATAAATTATAATTAAAATTTACTTATATTTTTGAATCGAAGAAAGTATACTATTTTGATTTTATTCCCTTCGTTTAGTATTATAAAGCATTTTTAACTAGATTATACCTCTCAATAAGTTAGTTAGTTATTTTTAAAATTACACATTATTTACATGTTTGTTCTTATTAAAATAAGTTATCTCAATTAGAAAATTTTATTAACTACACCCATAATTGTAGGTATTCTTTAAAAATCTTATTACTTGCACCTTGAAAAATTTAAAATGCCTTATATTTTTTAACTTCATACTTTAAAAAATGTTTTATAATATAGAATAGGTGGAGTATTCATAAGTCACTTATAATATATTTTATTAAAACTAAGAAAATTGTAAACTTATTAACTCTGTTTAGATAAGTTTTTAAATTTATCCTTATTAAATAGATATGAGTATATTTTAATAATATACTTTCTCTCACTAATATTTAATTGGAGATAAAAAATCATGATAAAAATTTAATGTGAGAAATAGAACAAGAAGAGTACTCCCTCTGATTCCTATTATAAGATGTCTCTGTCTACAAATTTAGTGACATTTAAATTTGTCACTAAATCTTTATACTAAATCAAAAATTAGTGGCAAATTTTGTTGATTAGTAATAAATTTGTTTGTCAATAATTGTAATTTTTCTAGTACGATACATTCCTCTAACCTTCAATTGAACTAGTAATTTAGGCTAAATTAGAAAAATATTTAGAACCGATCTTAATAAAATAATCATTTTTTAATATTTGAGAGTATTCTAGCGGCTCAAACATGCTCGACAAAGTTCAAGTTAAGCCCCATTGGGTTTATTAAAATTAATATTTATGTCATATCTTAAATATTAATGAACCCCTTAATTCATTTTAGTAAGAGAAATTAAATTTTGATTAAATAAAATGAACTAAAATTTATATATCATATGTATTATTTTTTAATATATGATATATATTTTTGGAAAAATGACAATTAAGGACCCCCTAAGGACATTAATTCCAATTGGAGACCGTCAAATATAAAAATCTCAATTAAGGACTATGGTCCTTAAATGGGATAAAAAATAATCTGAATTATCAAAAATGCCCTTGAGCTCAAAACAAATCTACCCGCGCACGCTAGAGCCCTATTTGTGCTCTGTTTTGGCGTCTCCCTCAGCTGCTGCTTCTCGTCGTGGTTCAGCTGTCTTCTTTATTGTTCATCGAGTTCTCCATATTAGCTTCAAGGGTGCGAAATCGTTGCTAAGAGGTCCTCCAATCTTGCTCCCATTTCTGTAGCATTAGTTCGGTGTGCATCCTCTATGGTCATTGCCCATCTTTTCTTTTCTTCCTAGGTTGGTGCCCTTCTCTCTCTCCCCCTCCCTCCTTCTATTCTTTTGCTAGCTGAGCTCAGATACTAGCAATGAACTAGAAATTGTAACATTTGATTCACTTGGTTCCTCTTTTGTTGGCTAAGCTTGTATCTTGGTTCCTCTTATTTGTGTTCTGTGTCCTTCTTATTGCTTCACTTGGTTCCTCTTATTTTGCTGTAAATTTGTAACATTATTTTGAGCTCAAATATGAGCTCAAATACTACATGTTGAGCTTAGAAATTTTTTTTATGCAATAAAAGTTGCAATTCTTTCTTGATGAAGAATGATGAGCTAGGATAGATAATTACCTATCTATGATATTTGTTTATGCACAGGATATTATGTTCTTGTTCAACATAACCCAAATCCACTTGTCATGCTATCTTTTCAGGAAAAAAAGGGAAAAAGAACAACTTGAAGCTATCTAAAATTTATTACGTGACTAAGCTGTTCAAAAATTATTGACTACAGTTCTCTTTATCTTTATACACTTGCTCTATTTGTCTAAAGACAATGACATTTGCCTCTCCTCTACTCCCCTAATGGCACTTCTTTGTTTTTTAGACCACAAATTTTAAATAGTTCACACATGTAAAATATATAAGATCTAGATATAATGTCTCTGATAGCATTGTCAATAATGTTAAGAAATTTTATTTCCCAAATTTGAGATTAGTCTTAAACATTCTTTTGATTTTTAATTTTGCCAACCTTAAACATTTTTTTGATGCTTGAGTTGCTTCGACCTTAATTGATTTACTTTTACAACAATTATTGATGTTGAATTGATGGATGATATAACTATAATTGATATATTTCAACCAATCATTTTCGAATCCCATTGAAAATAAATATTATTTTGGTGATGTCAACTGAGCTATGGTTTATTTACATTCTTTGTACTATTTTTGGAGGTAAAGGTTAAGGAGGCTATGACTATGACTTTCCTTGACCCTCCCTGTTCTATGGAGAAAATTAAAATTTAATGTTTGGTAAATTCAATAGCATTATTATGTGTATTCATTAGTGATGTTAGATACATTCAATAGTAGTTTGTTTTTTACCCTCATTCTTTGTGTGCAGGATAATGGCTAAAACAAAAGAAAATTCTTTAAGAAAAAAAGTTGTTCTGATTTAAGCAAGTTTAAAGAGGCGTATTATGGCAAGTATACAACCCAAGGAAATTATTTAAAGAAACTCAATGCAGAAGCAATTGCAGCATGGAAAAAATTATCGTCAGAAGAACAAGATCACTATAAGCGTCTAGCTAAGGAGGAAAACGCTGGTGTAAAAGCTCACGAGATACGTTGTTTTTGACCTTAAGTATGAAAAATGTGATGAATTTAAATAATGGTGCTGACTTGTTTTTCTTGGACAAATTCCATTTGAGACAAGGTGTTCTCCGACAAAGATGAAGGAAATTTTTGATTATATCAAAAAGTAGAAATCCTTGAGGGATAGGGTTAATAGAATAGGTTTTAGTAAGATTTCAAATATTAAATATCATAAGTTGCCTAGAGATTTATACGACAAAGTGATGAAGGCATTTGATCTTCCTACATCATCCCTTTTCATTAAAGGGATCAGAGGAAACTCATCAATGGCAAAGCAGTTCATGCCTTACTTGGCTTGCCTAATCATGGGGAGATGATTAATATGAATGGGGATAAGAATAAGTTAAAGTCCTTAAACAAGGACTTTAAAAGAGTATCCTATAATATAATAAAGGACAGGATACTCTCAAAAAAGAAAATGATAGATTTGAGTTTTTCTTTGTTCTCTATTGCTTAGGGAATTTTCCTTGTCCAAGTTCGAGTTCCAACATAAGTGATAAACTATTAAAGGTCATGTTTGAATTAAATTTGAGAATTGTATGTTATGATTAGTCATCCTTCATACTATCTGAGCTTGAAAAGGAGGTAGCCGAATATAAAGCATGGGAGAAGAAGAATAGGCACAAAAAACTGTTGGTGGATGCTTATTTCTTCTTCTGATATGTGGATGCATTAAGATATAATTTGTTATAAGTTAATTATTTTGAACAAAATTTTGTGGGTTATATGACATAGTTGTAAATATGCAGATTTTCTACTTTCAAATGTTTTCATTGGAGCTAGTTGAGGTGCCATCGCAAGAAGATGCTCTGGAATATTAGACAGAGGAGAGAGTGACAGCACGAGTTTAACTTGGGAAGGCAAGTGATCATGGCATTTTATATCACCCTTCTTGAGGACATGACAGCTTCTCAGTAAAGCTTCCAGAAATGAATTCATTTTATGATCTGGTAAGGGAAAAATGATGATTGTTAATTAGCAAAGTT